ATACTTGGCTACTTTTAAGCAAAATGTAGTTCGCTATAACTACAACTACTGTTTTAAAAAAGTAGTCAAAAACTACTGGCTACTTGAAAATTGTAGTTCGCTACAGTAGCGAACTACAACTACTTCGCTACTACCCACCCTTGCACTTCTGGACCTGTATCTATTCTGTGCCTTGGTCATTTTAACCTCATTCGTATGGGTATGGCCTGTTCAAATGAGCCATAATAATATTAGCATAGAAAATTGCATTTTGTTCATGTAATGAAGCACAAACTATTAGACCACTTGGCCAGACCCCAGATTTGTTGAAATGAGAGACTGGGCATTGTAATTTTAATGAAAGCATTGTGAGAATTATCGGTGTTCTATCAATAGGCATAGCATCATTAAGAAAAAGCTAACTGCAACTACTGTAGGCCAGGATATACAAAGGCACTGTTATAAATGTGTCTAATTTGACCCATATTCATCATTCATTAATAATATCAATTTTACTTAGGATTATGTTGATGAGCAATCTTTTGCTTTTTCAAATTTAGAGGGCTATATATAACAAACCAGTCATTGGTGACGCTAGATGATCTTCATTCAAGATTCATTATCGTAAAGGAATCATCGGCAAGAAATGGTCTTTTCATTGGCTGATAAAAATGAACCTTGGGTAGATGTTTGCCAGGTTGTATATTTCTTGTAGCCTTTGACTTGCACAAGGAAAAGAAAATATATGCTGAAACTACATGCTAGACGATGAACTCATTGTTGAAGAACATATTAGTTATGTTTATATAGAAAAAGAACACTGTAAAGTCACCTTGTACTGGACAGAGTAATGTAATAAGTGCAGAGCTCGGCACAACTAATCTACATTACCATTTGCAGTTTAACCCATTGAGTCGCATTGCACTCTGACGCACCCTACTTTAGTGTTTTACTCCGTCTAATGCCAGACGATTTTACTCGTCAAGGGGAGAGCGCTGGCGCTTAATGGGTTAAATGGTAATAAATGTGATATTTTACATTCATCCAGCTTTACAGTCTTACATTTTGAGGAGCATTGCAGTACAAAACTTAAATGTACCCTACTAACCTACTGCCCTTTCCTTATATTACTCTATCCAATAGCATATAAGGTTATATTTCATTAAGGGGTGAGTCTTATTTAATAGTTTGTTTGTGAATTTATTTAGATATGTATCATTTTGATATTAAAAATATTTTGATATTTTGATTATTAGAAGGATAATAAAGAACCTGCTGAAAATTACAGACCTATCTCTTTATTGCCGATAGTAAGCAAGGTGATGGAACGGTGCGTCTGTAACAGGTTCTATTCCCATGTCTCACATCTAATTACTTCTCTTCAGCACGGTTTTATGCGTAATCAATCATGTGTAACACAGCTTCTGTCTGTTCTCCACTCCATTGGAAAATCACTTGACCAAAACACTCAAACAGACATTTTATACTTGGATTTTGCTAAGGCTTTTGACTGTGTAGACCACGTTATTCTCAAAGAAAAGCTTAAATGGTATGGCGTAATGGGGAATCTTCTTAACTGGTTTACTGACTATCTTAGCGATAGATCGCAGAGAGTTGTGATAGAGGGTGTAGCTTCTCGGTACCTACCCGTTACTTCTGGTGTTCCCCAGGGAAGCATTGTAGGACCTCTGCTGTTTGTTATTTTTATCAATGACCTACCTGATATTATCCAGGAACAGACAAGAACCGGCCTCTTCGCAGATGATACCAAGTTGTACCGATCAGTAAAATTCCCTTGCGACTGTGAAAGTTTGCAGCATGATATTTCGAACTTGAACAATTGGAGTCATAACTCTAACATGAAATTTAACGCCTCCAAGTGTAAGGTATTAACAATAACTCGAAAAAAATCACCTGTAGTTACTGACTATCGTCTGGGTAATGTAATTTTACAACGCGCTCACCAAGAAAAAGATTTGGGAATTATTATCAAAAGCAACTTATCCTGGGATTCTCACATTTTCTCAATCGTCAGTAAAGCCAACAAGATGCTTGGTATCTTAAAGAGAACTTGTCCCCTGATTAGAGATACTAAAGTTAGGCGAACACTATACCTGACTTTGGTAAAATCAAAGCTGTGCTACGCAACGGAGGTGTGGTCCCCAGCTAATGTGAAGCTACAAGTTGCATTAGAAAGAGTTCAAAGGCGCGCTACACGTTGGATCTTCAAAAGTAAAGTTGGAGAAATGTCTTATGAAGATAGACTGAAAACTCTCAATTTATTGCCACTAACTTACGATCGAGAAATCAGAGATCTTGTTCTGGTCTATAAATGTATTTTCGGCCACACTGATTTGAACATTGAACATTTTGTGTCATT